TTTGGATGGGAGTTTTATATTAAAAATAAAGTACAAGTGTACTTTAGGTTAATGATTAGTTAGGAGACTTAGAGTCTGGTTGAGTAGTTTGGCATTAGTTAATAAGAAAATAACATATCTTGGGAAACATAGTAAATCTTGGGAAAATCTGAAGGATGAAAATTGGTGACATGTTTTATTGATGATTCTGTACTTTTGATGATTGTATGGCTGGGGATCATATCCTGGAAGGATGTAGATTGGTGTGCTCTCAATCATGGTTAAGGAAATGTCATGTCTTGGCAAAGTTTTAAATTATGTAATCAATGACGTATTGTGAATCTATAATGATGAGAAAAATTGTAATAAAAAGGGGACCCAGAGAAAGCAGCTTTATTTCTCTCTCTAAAGATTGCTCAAAGAAAACGACTCCTGTCTCATCTTTTCACCGAGGCCACTCCTCCTTCAAGACTCCCTGGACCCCGTTGGGGCTGGACCCCGGCATTTTATGTCTATGTATTCCACTGTGTCTGTGGTTGTAGACATTACAAACAGAATGCATGAATGGATATTTCCTGTCTAGTGGAAAGCATTCCAGCATTCATCCTGCCAATTTATGAATGGACTGCAGCTTGTCTTATCAATGGGCAACACCTACTATATTCCTAAATTCCTGTATTCTTCCTGAATTCTGGACACTATCCAGAACAGGTTCATGGTTTTGTGTTCAAGATGTGTACCACCTCCAAGATCTGTGACATGGCCATGTACTGGATAGCTGAAGGGATTTCGAAGCCTCTCAGAAAACTCAGATATCAGTGTGACCAGGAAAGTCTCAGTGGAGAAACTTTGCTTAGGGACATTTTGTTATCTATTGTTCTGTTGCCCTGAATGTCAGAAAGGTCTTTGCCTCAGGCCATCCCTTTGTGAAGCCTAAAGAAAACAGTTTCCAAATGGAAAAGAAGGGGCCTCACCTGTGGCTCTTTGGTTAACTGCTTTCTAAAGGGATGTGTCTGAATCAGCCTCTTGGCCCTGTGTGAGGCTGTGGCTTAGATTCTCAGCACCTGATGAAACTAAATAAAGCTCCCATGTGTGCATCCAAAACAAAAATGGCCAAAAGAGCAGTCATTGTGGATGAAGTCTCTTGCCTTCCTCTGTAAGTTTCCTGATCTCCGTGAAGTGAAAATAGGGATCCTTTGGGTCAAATTAGTTCTTCAAAGCCCTGCAGAGGCTAGCCCATAGGTTTTTGGGTTTTCTCATGACTGCAATTTACATAAAGCATCAAACCCGACAGTCAGTAGGCCTCAAATTTGAGTAGCAGAGCAGTATTAAAAGCAGGCCTATTTGATCTCTGCTGGTTCTCAGAAAGGTTGTGCAATCCACCCTGACTTTAGGCAAATGAGGGGCATGAGAACATATTTTGGACACTGTCTTGGGCTACACCCCTCATGGAAAATTCTAGCCAGAGGTTACGATGAATGTGTATATGGAAGAAGATGAGGGCCATGTAGGAGTGTCTGATTTTAATTGTTGTCTTTTGTGTGGCAGGGTCAACCACTTCTTGCATCAGAACACTGGCCTATTTCTTGACTGGCCTTTTCATGATATTACTTTCCAAATACATTATTTTCGATGTCCATAATCATTTTTGAAGCAAATCTTACACATCTTCATGATGAACAGTAACCCTAATATTACCATTAGATGTATAACTGGTTGGAATGAATGTATGTATATCAATATGAGATTTCATGTATATTTTAAGATATCATTTCAATCCATTAAAGTTGGAACCAGTTATATTATTTATTCACAGTATGGTCTATTCATGCATTATCTCTATATTCATAGACACAGGGCACACCTATTTGTATCCCCAATACTGATTTATAGGTCTTCAAAATATTGCTCACAGAAATGGTGGAAGAAATACTCATGTCACCTGATCTACATATTCATTTCATCACAGTAATACTCTTGACACTAAATCAAAGATCACACTTAGGATTGTACCAAAGCCTAAATTGAAGGTGAGCATGGATTACTAAAACATCCATG